CCACTACAGGGCAGGATGAAAACTGCTTTTTTGTGAAAGTTGTTATGCAAAGGCTCCACGTGATCCAAGGTATAACCAAGCAAAAGTAACTTCATGGCTGTGACTTGGGGGTCATCAAAACCAGTTGATATTCCAGAGTACAGGCTGAAGCAATCTATACCATCAACCCATATATTATGCACAATTTTTATAAAAACTACTCACCTCTTATCAACATCTCTACATGAATAACTAAACTGAGCTGAAACCAAACTGTACTAAGTATGACTGTCACAGCCAGGTACTGTAGATTGCCCTGTTGCAGAGATTTTTTGTAACTTCACACAGTTGTATCAGCTAAACTTTGAGAGGATAACAGATTCATACTACAGCTACAGTTTTCACTGGAAGCTGCTGTTGGTTTTTTATTTACAGGTGTTATTTAGATGCTATGTTCATGGAGAATTTAATGGTGGAATCAAGCTATAAGTGGACCAATAGATTTACTCATTCTGGAATTTTAAGAAGAGAGTGCTCTCTTTCTCTATATCATTTCCTCACCATTTATTTTATAGAAAATAACTGCCACTGTAATAGATCACAATCTTCCCTTTTATAAAATATAAAAATATGGGCTACATCAGAGCTATCTTTCCTCCTCCTCACGATCTCCTCTCTGTAAAAATGCAGGGCATGTTTCTGAGACAGGTTACAAATCTATCTTGGCTTGAGAACAAAGCTAGTACCTCTCAGCAACAATGATTAAAAGCTTTAAAACATATTTTAATTTGACTAAACTATAATTCATTACAAAAGCTTCTAGTTATCTTGAAGTACAATACCATTTACGGAGAGCTGCAAAGAATTTTTCAAAGAACGAAAGGCTAAAGAGAGAATAACCAAATGTGCAAATGTTTTGAATATTTTTTCTTAATAAAATGTTAATATGAAGGTAAAACCAAACAGTGCTCATAACATGCATCTTCCTCCCTTTATGCCAGCAATGGTAGCATTTCTCACTGGCCTAACTCTGTGGTGTGCTGAGGGCTTCCATCAAAATGCTGACCTCAAAATCTTTGAGATTATCTGAAATCCTACCTGGAGCTTGTTAAAAGAATAAAGCTATGTGAAAAGCATATGGGAACTTCTTAAAAACTAAATCTTAGATACACAGACAAATCTTAGATACATAGATTATGCATATTGACTGCAACATGATTATAACATAACTGTGTAATAGCTTATTGATAATTTGATTTAATGTAATTTAACTGGCCCTTATTTGCTAAGATAATGTATAAGCCAGTGTTTGGAAAGGAGCCAAAAGAAAAAAGAAGAGAGGAAGTCAGATTAAACTGTGGTTGGCATAGGTTTAGCAAATGTTACAGAACATATGGAATGCAGAATCCGGTGCTATTTCTTGGAAAAACTAGTATTAAATGAAGGACAAATGCCTGAGCCAAACAAATTACATATTTTTAAATTCCTAAGTACATAACAAGACAATGAAGAAAAATCAGGGAAAAAGTGTTTCACTGCTGAGCATCACTTTGTAACCCATACAAGTAGCATACCTGCTGCTTTAGTTTATTATTCATATTGCAAGTAAAGATGAAAGCTAAGATTCTACAGTAAAAAACACATCCTGTGGCCTTAAATTAACAGTCCTGTCTTGACTTCAGCAGAGGGTGAAAGAAGTTACTAAAATCCAGAACATTAGAAAGAGACATGATAAGTGCAAATCTATCTTGTCAGACTCCTCTAAGTATTACACACCATTATTAATAAAATGCATTACATTAACTAATTTCATATATTTTGGCATTCATCATTCTCAGTTTACTAGTTCTGTAACTCTGCAATTTAGGAATGTCGAGCAATGTCCCTCCATGACACACAACCTACATCAGTGCATGCCTGCACTGAGGTCGTCACGTAGCAAGTCACTGATATCAAAGTCAGCTCTAAAGAAAGACACTTTTCATAATCGCCCAACAATCTGATAAGTGAAAACATATGGATAGGTTTAGGTAAAACCTGCAAGGAGCCTTTACTAAATGGAAAACAGGTGATCCAGTTCTATGCCATGTAATACCCTATTGATCATTAAGTCCAAAGGTTACAGGACTAATAGCTTCCTTGTGGTAATCAGGGAGCAAAACACTGGCCATGGTCAAACAGCTGGGGCATATTTTTACATATTTCCAACACATGCTTCAGTTTTAATGAAAGTAAGGGTCTGGCACATTTATTAATCTTGTAGCTTTCTTCACAAAAGGAGACCCATTTTCCTGAATTTTCTGTCATACCACATGAAAAAAACCAAGAGAAATAATAAAAGCCAGAGGCCACTACTACAGCTGGTGTTACAAAACATCTGGTTTTTTCCTCACAAAAATTAATTTTGAACATAGCTTTAAGAAAACACACACACAAACTACAATAACATAAATCTGCACCCCTCCATTTAGAGAAAAGATGCAAGAGGAACAGCAATAGTTAAGAGAGTATGTCTAGTGCACCAGAAAGGAAAAGCTAGCTTTTAACAGCAAACAAGCTAGTCCTAACCATTGTGCTTATTATTTACAATTTAATCTAGGGCAAAATAATGCCCAGTGCAAACATACTGAATAAATAGAATAGTCCATACATGCTTGTTTTAAAAAAAAGTGTAGTTTGTTTTTTTTTTTTCCAATTCAAACAGCATATTTAATCTTGAGAGCTCAAAACATTTGCAATAATGAAGACAGCTTTGAATTTATAAAAATCAACCTTTACACCTTCTGTATAGAAAAACAGCTCTTAAATATTCAATAAAAGGGCTCACTGAATGCACATGGTAATGTCAGCCCTCACTTTAATTCAACCTTGGTAACTAGATCTAGAAAAATGTTTGAACTCTAGTGTCAGTTTGAGAAAGCTGAATATTAGATCACAACATTGAAACCTAGAGTGATACTTCTAATTAGGGGCGTTTGCTCAGAGAATCACCAGAGAACTGGGGGGAGGGAAGGGCTGACCTCTGCCCTCATCTTCTCCTTTAAAGGAGTTTATTTAGCAATTTCCAAAACCCACTAAGCAGCAGTGCAACCGCACAGGCTGGTTTAAACTACAAGCAGTCAAGTACTATTCTTTGTGAACTAATCACAGTGCTTAAAATGTCCAGGAATACTCATACTACTGGTATGACACACTTGCACCAGATCTTATAATAAAGTAGAAAGAAACAGGAGAAAATGGCCTTAAATGGATGGTAAATCAGTGTATATCAGAAAACAAATGATGATTCAAAGCTAGTCTATTGAGATAAAATTCAAGCTCTCCACAGCTACATGATGGACTTTTGCAATAAATCATATATTTTATTGCTAGAAATGGAAGCTCATATCATTTAGCATCAAAAAACATCACATATATGTTTTGGAAAAGAAGATTTTGTTCATAGAGTGTTAAGAAAATAAGTAGCTAACAATTTAGTTGATGTATAGAAGAATTTCATATAATAATTTTAAAATGTTTGACCTGGCAACAGAATAAGGAAAATACTTATTTTTTTATCATCTCTTACATCTTAAGTGTAAGCTAACAGAAAAATAATCATTGAGGGGATTAACTAATCACAGTGAATTTTCTGACATTTCAAATGCTGCTGCCAGCATCTGAATTCTTACAGTGGTGTATAAATGTACATCTCAGCCAGAAAAAAAGGTCAAGAGCATAAATTAAGATGCACTGTTTTTCTCCTCTCAGGAAAAAAAAAATGCTATATTACAACAGAAGTGGGGGAACATTTGTGAAGGTCAAAATAATCTGAATTTTAATACAGAGTTGTTGTAAAACTATCTATTATTTTCCTTTTTATTTTCTTTCACAAATATCACCCTTCTGATAGAAAAATACCAGCAAGAACTGGGCTGCATTCACTGTACTCACCTCACCAGAAAGCCATCCTGCCAGTGCTAGCCATTGCTTCAGTGGTGCAGGGTCATTCTGATTTATTTTCTTTGTTTTTTCCCTCTCTCTGGGGGACAACCAATCCAAGAAGTCCCATGGCTTGGCTCAATAATATGTGGAAATGAGTTGCTATTTACTGTGGTTGCAATCCTCAACCTAACTAGCAGCATCTAAACTGAATCACGTCCACTCAAATAGGTGAATGATCTGTGGTTTCCCAGCTTGCAAGGCCACAATGCAAACTTCAAAGGGATGTGTATGAGAATTGTGATTAAATGTCACATAGAGTGCAAAACATTCAAGACATTCTTCTATTTAGCAATTCTTTGAAAATTTTAAATGTCAATATCCCATCCTTAACCAGTACAGAGCTGCTATTTCCACATAATTTTTCCCCTGAAGTGCAGCCCCTTGTTGTAGTACTCAAGACAAGAGGAATTTTTGTCCTTAAAAACCAGTTGTTGCTGCAGTCATCTTCACAAGAGCTATCACATTCCAGAAAGGCTGAGATATTCTTTTTCCTGGCAGAAAAAGTATTTGATCCAGAAGCAGGCCAAGAAAATACAAAAAAAAAAAAAAAAAGAAAAAGGAAGAGGAAAAGCAAAAAGAAGAAAAAGAAGAAGAAAAAGAAGAGAAAAAAGAAGGAAGTAAAAGAAGAAGAAAGAAAAAAGAAAGGAGGAAGGGAGGAGGAGACGAAGGAGAAGAAGAACAAGAATAAGAACAGGAACAAGAATGATAAAAAGAAGAAGGAGGAAGAGAAGGAAAAAAAGAAAGAAGAATAAGAAAAAAGAAAAAAGGAAAAAAAGGAAAAAAAGGAAAAAAAGGAAAAAAAAGAAAAAGAAAAAGAAAAAGAAAAAGAAAAAGAAAAAGAAAAAAGAAAAAGAAAAAGAAATAGCAGGATTTATAGACCTCTAAGTTTTCTTTCAATAGCATTATTAGGATGATAAACAGCTCTGTCCAATTTTCTGGACTAAAACACATCAACTCCTTTTTTAACTGTCGGTAAAAACAGTGTCATGTCTAAATTCTCTCATCCCCAGATACCCAAGTGCTAGAAAGATAATTACCTTGTCATCTCTATCATCCTCTTCTTCCTCGTCCTCTAGCATGTCCTCCACTACCTGCAGACAGAAACAGTAGTAGTTGTCACCATTTAAAAAGAAAGAGTTTTGTTCTGTCAATTCTAAGCCTTTTGTAGATGAAAACTTTATTAACATTTGAAATAAATGCACAGAGGGAAAATGTACAACTAGGAAAAAACACTTGATCTAGTGATTCAAATTTAGGAAAGTGTTATAGCTTTAATTGACCTACATTGGGGAATTACATACTGAAAACCCTTCCTTTGCAAAATGCTTGCTTGACAATTTAAGTATTTAAAAGGTAGTTCAAAATTCAGTATATGCCTGCTTTAACTAAAGGAATCCTTTGTCAGCTCCACTGGTGCCTATGCAGCACACACACATGCTCACTTCAAATTTATGGTTACCTGCATAAAAGGTCAACACTTTCAACAGCATTTACAGTATTCACCAAGAGATTCTTGAAAAATACAAAACCAGAAATAAATTCATAGTAGCTTATCTCCTTATCAAGTTTAACAATGATATATACTCATATGCCACATTAGCCCTTAAACACATTGAAGTGTTTCTTTGCTAATAATTTTATACAATCTATGCATCTAACTTTATGCACATTAATTTTTAGCTGCACTTGCTACACCTGCATCTATGTGTTTTTCCATATATAGTTTTTCAGTCCAACACCATGAAATACAAACATACATTAAATACTTTCTCCAAATATTAATAATTATTAATCATACCATCAGCGTGAAACAGAGTTTAGTTTACAGAGAAATCAAATGATTTTCCAAAGATGGGCCATACCAGATTCAGACTTAAAAATATCCCTCTCATTACACTGTGATCAATGACCCTAATAGGAAAATTCTCTGTTGATGGAATAGAAGTTGTACCTCCTTATAACCAGAAAACAGTGTGCTTCTTTATATCTTTATGTTCATATATATGTATTAGGTTATAATAAAATCCATAATGAAGGTCAGCAAAGATCCAACTAGCCCAGTATCCTATTATGGGTGCAAAAAATCTACACTATGTATTATAAAATACACATAAAGAGGAAAAGAAGAGGTAAAACTCAATTTTTGTCATTTAAGACAACACACTAAAGTTATAACTTCATAGCCACCTCCCCATAAAATGCTGCAAGGGTGCTCCCACATTCATGCACAAGAACTTAAGGGACTTTATCCAAGAACCAAATTCAGGTAAGAAAAGAATCTAAAAAAAAAAAGTGTGTGAATCAGTTTCCTTTCCCAGAGTTAGCTCTACCATCAAGAGGGTCCCCATTAGCCATGTTACATGGGCCCATGCAGAGCATGAACAACATCATGGTTTGATGTAAGCATTTTCTGTTTCCCATACACCTGCATCACCTTCTTGTTCATCTCCTGGTTGCTCATTGCTATATTCCCTGGGCTGTTCAAAATCTTTGGAGAGCTGAGCAGTAAACGGCATCACTGGAGTAACTGGGTTCTTCAATAACATACATCCTCTAACCTTTAGTGCAGCTGGTTCCAGTGACCCAAATTACTGAGCAGCTTTACCAACTCTACAAAGAAAATGGTAAAATGAGAAAAGAAGAGGAAAACAAGCTGTTAAGGGCTGCAGCAGATGGAAACTCTCTTAGATCAGTTTTTCCACATGCAAAACACCCACTTAACTACCATTAGTTGATTAAAGACCTAGATAAAAATGAGATCTGTTGACTCACACGTTGCCTAATGCCCAGAGCTCACTAAGTCAGTAGGTCTCTTACTTTTCAACATTAACCTAGATACTTAAAGATCTCTTTTACGCACATCCAGAAATTTGTTGTCTTGACAAGGTTGAATAGCAGGATGTCTATCTCACATTAGCATTCAAGTTAGCATGGAGACAATTAGTTGAACTGGAAATCTCTAAAATGGCTGTAAATGAGGGCACCTCACAGAAATCACTTGTGTGACAATATCCATTCTAACTTATCCAGATAATAACACTTCAGACTCAGGTGTGGGGTTCTTTTCCCACATCTAAGGATCTCAAACTACAAAATTCTATAGAGAGACAAAATGTTAACTTGTTCAAAGGGCATAAAAAGTCCTTTGAAATTACTTGACTAAGTATCAGACTAAGCCCAGATATCCATTTCCTCCATTCTATTTTTTAATTCAAAAGCCACTGCCAGTCTGTGCTCTTTTTCTAATTTAGCTATGCTATCAATTACATTTAGATTTGGAGTACTAAATTGTTTGGGAAGAAAAACAGAACTCAATTTTTGTAGCAAAATAAAATGTAATGAAACTGTGCTTGTGCCTAAGATACATAAATAATTCTTTGAACTATATGAAACATAGCCCATAGTTTTACTTGTCTTGAAATTCAAAAGAAAGGCTTAAAAGGGAAAACCCAACACACACACAACCATTAAGACAATACAGATATGATAATACAATTCATTAAGGCACCAAAACAAGTGTCTTCAGAACTTGGCCATAAATTAAAACAAGGGAATTAGATTCTTCATAGTCACATGACATATGAATTATTGCCACACTGAAGCCTTATAAAAGCTTTATGCTGAAGTACAGTGTCTTCCAGAACAAAGCAAGGCTGTTCAAGTGAAGTACCGTAAATCTGAACACAGGTTTCAGTTTTCACTGTAAGAATACAGTAGAAAAAGAAATCCCACAATGGGTTTGTTAATCCTTTGATTCTGCTTCATTTCTATTCAAATAAAGTGCATATGTGCCACTCTGTTTGGAAGGAATACATTAGTTATTTGGATCTTTATGTCAAGCATTATACCTGGAGGAGATATAAAGGAGGGAGGGAGGTGATGGGGAAGGAGGAAGAGAAGTGGGCAAAAAAAGGTAACAAAGATAAAATGCAATGTTACATTTATTTTAATAAAAATTCTATGGCAAAAATCTTACATTGTCCTTAGAACATTCACTCTAAATGATGCCTATGTTGTTTGAAATCAAATAGTATTTACCAGACAATGGAAGGGCACTAGGGAAATCAGAAAGACCTAATGCAAGCAGTTAAAAGTGGCATGACCTTCTGTAACATCTCTTGTCACAGTCTTATATGCTGCATACTGGTAGAAGGTCTTGAAAGAAATTGTTTCTTGGTACTGTCCCTTGAATGTCATGCAAATACAGATGATATTTTAAAAAAACACACATAAGTGGCCTCAAATACAACATGTAAGTTACTTCACAGCCAAAAGGTAAGGAGATGATGTTTAAGCGTCACAAAGTAAGACCCTTCCTCTACAATATATCCCTATTAAGAGCTTATAAATCAGAAGCAGCATGTAATCTAATTCCTATCATTATTCATCATTGTTCTTGCTCCATTCCCACCATCTTCAAGAAACACAGGCCAAAAAAACTGTGCGACTCATAATCCATAACAGATTGGAGGACCATTGCTCTGTCACAGCAGATACCATACACCATACAGATACAGGTCACCAGAAGGAAGCACAACCATCACATTTGGACACCGAGGAAAACCTCAGCATCTGTGGGCTACAATGCAGTCTTCTGAGGAAACTGACATTAAATACGAATTGCATTTATTCTAAAGATCTACTGATTAACAAAGAGGACAGAATTTCTGAGAAAATAATTCATTTTGACTTCTAACCTCAACACCTGCAAAGCAGAGTTGGATTATAGTTATTTGCAGGCATGTTAAATCCAAGCCCTACAGCTGTAGATGACTTAGAAATACCTCCTGAATTTTAAGAATCAGTGGAAAAGTGACGCACTGAAACTTAACACCACTTCTAATGAAAGGTCCTTTTCTCTTAGCATCAGCCTTCTGTTCCTCACACAGAGTGTGCAAACCATCATTAATTGTCTCTGTTCTGTGTTTTGCATCTAATCCAAAAGAAACACCTGCATAGAAGATATTCTGATGTCTTCACAAGTTAATAATACCAGGTATTTGCTCGGCACTGAGATGTAAAATAAAGAAAAAAAGGAGGGGAAAAAAAAAGGACACTAACTCTGCAGATAGCCATGGTGACTGTTACCTTAATACTTTAATAATACCCCTCTTTAGAACTTCTCTATATCTGCTTAGATCTTACTTGTACTCCTTCAAAGCTAGGCGGTTTCCAGTAAAAACAAAACATTTTCTACGCCACACACGTTATGATCTCAAATTATCTACAGTCATTTGTATATTTGTAAGTAAGTATTAAGATTAAAAAAGAAATCAAAAGTGAGGATGATATTTGGTTCCAAATTAAATGCATTTTAGATATGCAATTAATGTAGTCAGAATTATACTGTTCAGGACTGTTTGGATTTATATTCATACTGTCCTGCCATGAAATGTATTATAAACATGTGAGCCATGCAACTCAGTGTATACCTGTAATTGTAATATAAAACTGTGCCATTTGTATGGATTAAGGAGAATGCATAAAACCACTTGGGCTTTCTCAGGTCATTTCTTGCTACTTCATTTGAAGGAAAGATACCCATTGTCCACAAGCCCACTACAGCAGCAGTTATGTGCTCATCTTCTCAACATGACGTCTGCTTCTTTTATGGAATTGCCAAGGAGAAACTTTACAGTAGATACATCTTCATTAAAATGTCCAAGTTTTATACCACATTTTTAAGGAAAATAAAGATCAAAGTAAGAGATTCTGATTTAAGAGTACAGTATATCCGGGTCCAACCAGATTTATACATTTTGATCTTGGGGTATTCATCTGTAGTATTCATCAGAATAACTGAACTACTAGATGTGATAATTAGTGTGATAAGCTTCTCAGTAACATTGAATATATTGCAGTATAGAAGACAGAAGAATAAAAACAAAAGCATTAGTACTTTTCTACTAAATTACTTTCTGGTTTTTACATAGGCACTCAAATTATGTCTTCTAACAGAATGCATTTTGTTAGCTTATTCTGGGAAGTGCTCATAATGTAATTTAGTCTGATTCTTAATAGGAAATAAGACTAATACGGCTATCAGAGGCCTTTTGATGCATGCTGCTGATTACACGGAGTTCGGTAATGT